AAAAGTCAAAAAAAAAAAAAAAAAGAATTCGGCAAACTACATGCCAGACAGCCTGAAGTTTCCTGTTTGGGCATCTACATACACAGAACAGCAGGGGCCATGGCTAAGGACCTGCTCCGTCTGGTGCTGTCTAGGTGGGGTCTCTGCGCTGACTGTCCCGGGAGGAGTCTTTGCCACTGTCCCCGCCCCTGAGGAGTTCAATTCCACGGAGCTCACCCCTCAGACACCCCCGATTCACTGTGAGTTCTGAGCCACGCCATCCCCCAGAGACCAGTAACAGAGGGGACGGCACCGTGAGTCCGCGTCCTGAGCTCTCCCATCCTGCAGACCGGGCCTCCGTCTTGAATCTGACTGTGCCCATTTGGGGCAGGTGACTTGGTGAGCCAGGAACCCACGAAAACGTTAGGATTGACAGCCTTGTTTTACCTTCTGAGCAACCTACACAAAAGGCCACCCACGAATCCATGCAGCAATTAGTGAAATTATCATCGGTTCCCACTGAGACACAAAGACACGCCTTCCTTTCAGCCTCCCTCCACCTACACTCTCCTCCTCACCAGGAAACTCGGAAAACACCTGCAGCCAGAGCGGCCGGTTTGAATGGAAGCAGTTGGCAGGGGCGCCTGTGGGAGTGGGGAGTGGAGGGATTCAGAGTGGAAGGTTTGGCCCCATTCCCAGCAGGGGAGGAAAGGGCATCGTGGACAAGAAGGGTGACCTTGGGCCGATGGGACAGGGAACGCCGTGCTAGAGCTACTAATAACCCATCATGTGCACAGAATGCGAGAAAAACTCATCGGGCAGCTCCATTTTCCGCCTGTTAGCAGTCATTAGTGGTTCTGCAGGGAAAGCCAGAAAAAAATCGTTTTATATGGAACAATAAATTCCTCCATGAGCCACAAAACCCCACAAATCTGCAGCTAATAAGCCCACAAATGTAAGAAGATTAAGGGCTGGCGAGGCAGGATCTCCTCGACCCCTCCAGGGCCGGCCTCAGGAGGCAGTGTGGTCTGACCGCTGATGCTGGGCCAAGGGGAGAGACCCAGCTCTCATCCTCGGCAAGCCACCCGCTCGCTGCCTCGGTTTCCCCTCTTGCAACACGAGGGCACCTAACTCCTGCCTTGACCAGCCAACACTGGCAGAGGTGGTGGTGGAACCCAGGCCGCCTGGCCCCAGAGCAGACCTCCTCACAGGCCACACCGCCCTGGGTGTGTTTTCGGCAGGTGTCTCTGCCGTGTGTGGGGGGGTGTGTGTGTGTGTATGTGTGTCTGTGTGGGGCGAAAAGGGCAGAAGGCTTGAGCTACAAGCCGCGCGCACTGCGTGTGCGCATGACCACGCGTGTGCCTGCCGGTACAGGGCCCCTCCTCCGCAGGTGGCAGGGCTGGGTGTCACTCCCCTCCCCAGAGGAGCCAAACCACAGCTGGGGTGGGCGGGGGTTTGATCTTCCCTCGGCTGCGAGATGAGAGAGGTGTAAGCGCCAGAGATTCAAGGCCCGAGGGAGAAACACCCTGCCAGTGAGCAGCTCACATGAAAAGCTCAGCAGTAACAGCCGAGGCTTCGGAGCACGCCAATCACACAACAATTAAAAGGTCTGACTCCCCTTCATTCTCCCGCCCCTCCCGCCACATCTGGCTGCCCCTGCGGCTCCAGGCAAATGCTCCGGGCACAGAGCATAAAGAACACACTTTCCCCTTTCTAATCGGGCATCAAAAGTTGGAAGCAGAAGTGATTCCTGGAGGTGGGAAGGGAGGGGTGTTGTTGAGACAGCCGGGCAAGGAGGGGCTGGGAGAGAGGAGGGGTGCGGGGCAAGGTCCCCACACAGCTCTCATGGGGGCCACACCGCAAGCAGTAAGACCAGCGCTGTCCCTATAACCTGGCGGATTAGAAAGCAGGCTCACAAGGGCGCAGGACGTGACCGAGGTCACAGGGCGGGAGAGCTGCCTTCCCACCCCCGCTGTCCGATGCTCTGCCCCGGCCCAAGCTGCCTCCACAGTGTTGACCACTTGGGGATTTGGGGGGGACTCTTCTCATCCCTTTTCTTGGCTTGCCCGATTGTAAAGTGGGCTCAGGCTTTGGGTGGCGGCCCTGAGCCCCACACATCAAAGGCAGGGTGGGCGCTGGGCGGCGGGCTGCTCTGTACTGAAGCCAGCGCCAGCCATGCCAAGCGCCCTACGCAGCACGCCGGTGGTTAATTGAGAAAGAAGCAGGCAGTGTGCCCTAAAGTGAGGAAATCGCAGCTCGTCGGCTTTTTAGTGGAGCCAACCCCCACCCAGCACACGCGCCCCCACCAGCTTCCCGGCAGAGTGCGGAGCCCGCACCCCCGGGGTGGGCGGGGAAGCTGGATGCCCTCCTGGTCTGACTCCACCCACAGCCCGGTATCTCCAGGAGATGGCCGCGGGCGGGACATGGGGTCCCCGCACCCCTGGCACAGGGCAGGACCGCACAGTTCACACTCAACTCAAGTGGGGGGCAGGCAGGCAGCAGATGCCAGCATCCCAGTCCTACTGGCCTCCCCTCTGCCAGCATCCCAGCCCCTCCGCCCCCGACAGGACAGAGCTCAACCACAACCCAACACTCACAGCGTCTCCAGACTGTGCAGCCCCTCGAAGCTGTGGGTCCCCAGTCGCTGGATTCGGTTGTTATGAAGATGCCTGTGTGGGAGGAAGGGACAGGTCAGGCCGGGTACCCATAGCATCGAGCCCTGGGGTGGAGGAGGGGGGCAGATGGTGGCTCAAGGAGAAAGAGGGAGGCCGAAGCGTGGACAGAATGACCCCAGTGGTCCAGCCCTTTGACTCCAGGGGCAAAACGATTGGCCAAACCTGACTTCAGAAGTCAGCCTCCACGGCTGGACTGACCACGGGCTGCCCTGTATTGACGTCTGATGAAAGGAAAACAGGAGAGGAGCATCCTGGCCCCAGCTGACGCGGGCTCCCTCTAAGTTCTCAGAGATGCCCGATTGGCAGGGGCCAAGGGGCCTCTGGTCTGAGACTTCCTCTACGGTCCTGCTCCCCAGGACCCAGCCTGCCTGACTCAGTGGCCCAGAGATGCACTTATGGGAACCAACAGCAGACAACATATAATTAAGGGCTAAGCGTTCTGTTACAGCCAGGACGCTGCAGGCGAGCTCAGCGGCGGGGGACTGGTAAGCCCAGAGCAGTCACGGAGGGCTCTGCGGAGGCGGTGACCCAGAGCAGGGCCTTGAAAGGTAAGAGATCTGGGCAACCAGAGGAAAGGACATTCCAGGCAGAGGTGTCAGAAGAGAGAAAAGGGCAGGATGCTGAGGGGCGTGGCCAGGGCAGACAGGCTAGGAGGGGCAGGAGATCCATTTGGGACAGAATTCTGAGAAAAAACAGCTCATTGAAAATAGCGACAGAATGTTCTCCCAGATTTTAATGAAACGAGTGAAATAGCAGAAACCCCAGACTTACAAGTAGCAACAAAGCAAGGACAGACGTAACCTAATGTAAACAAACCACAGCAAGGAACTGACCGGGCACGAGAACAAAATCCTGAGGATTCTCCCTAAAACCCCCAAATCTGAAGAGAAGCAGCCCTGTGGACGTCCCTCCCCTCTGCTCTGCTGCCAACACACAGGCTCCAGGCTACTGAATCGAGGAAATGGCTTGAAGCCCGAGGGGTAGAGCACCTGGGTGGAAGGCGTGACTGGGACATTTCACACAGCCTGAACCTGGGGGCCTGCAGAGCCAGCACACTGCAGCTGGGACGGGGGAACCTGTGGGCCAACGGTGACCTGGCTGGGACAAGTGGACAGCTACCCGAGAGTAAGCCCGAAAAGGGAATCGCAAGGCCCGGCCAGTGTGGCTCAGCGGTTGAGCATCGACCTATGAACCAGGAGGTCACAGTTCGATTCCTGGTCAGGGCACATGCCTGGGTTTTGGGCTCGATCCCCAGCAGGGGCGTGCAGGAGGCAGCCGATCAAGGACTCTCCCTCATCACTGATGTTCCTCTCTCTCCCTCTTCCGTCCTCTCTCTGAAATCAATAAAGACATATTTTTTTAAAAAGGGGGCCAAGGTCAGGGACTAGAAGAAAATGCTACTCATGAATGAGGAACAGAAGGGAACCATCCCACAAAGCACTATTTCAAAGAGAAAATTTTAAAAATGAAGGGGAAAATGACATCAGAGACTAAGGAAGCAAACTGAGGACCAAAATGACATTATTAAAAAAACTAGTCGATAAATTTGAAACAAATCACCAAAGCTGGAATCGAGCACCTGCACTGCTGTCTGCAAGATCCAACCCCCTCCCGGGAGGGACCTGTGGCCACCTGGCGTGAGGGTGTCTGTCCAGGACCTCTAAGCTCCCCAGACATAGAATCAGACAAACAGATTGGTGTGGCTTTCCCGCCAGATTCCTCAGAGCAGGGGGGCAGTGTCCTGGTGGAGCCGGGTCCTTAACGCTTGTTTCTGCAGCAATGAGGGTGGAACCCGACACAATTACACATGACCTCCGAGCCCTGAGTAATCACCCTATGAACTTCCCATCACTCACAGCAATTAGCTGGGAGCTAATTTGCCTCAACACTTCCCACCGGGAAGGCAGAGTTAACCCCTGCCAGGTATGTTATCTCCCAGGTAATTACCCTGCGGGATGGGCGGCTAATTACCAGGGATGGCTTCTCTCTGCTCCCCGGGGCCTGGAGACATAAGTTTATCTCACCCCTGTGCCAGGGCATAAGACCACATCACCTGGTCGTCAGATGTGGTGGGAACCATTTACGACATCCTTGATTTAGACGCCCATTTGCAAAGTGTGAGAAAAAAGTAGCTCAACTCCGGTTCCTGCTCAGGGCGCTCCGTCCCGAGTGCCCTTCTCTAGCTCTTAGGTCATCTGGCCTCGTGACAACCCCGTGGGGTCAGCAGGGCATGATCCCCTTGTTTTTACAAAGGGGACCCAGGGCAAAAGGCCTAGCAGCACAGACTACGAGCAAAGCCCGGTGGCCCCGAGAGAGGGGGCAGGGAGAGGCACTCACAGCACCACGAGGCTGCTGAGGTTCTGGAAGGCATAGTCGGGGACCTGGCTGATGCGGTTGAGGGCCAGGGTCATGGCCTGCAGGGCGGGGAGGTTGTTGAGGGCCTGGACAGGGACCTCGGCAAGCGCATTGTCATCCAGCCACAGGTGGCGGAGGCAGGAGAGCCCCTCGAAGCTCCTCTCCGGGACCAGGGAGATGAGGTTGGCATCCAGGCGCCTGGAGGCGGAGAAGATGGAGAGGGTCAGTCCCAAGACGCAGACCAAGGCCTGGGGTGGGGCAGCAGGGCCGCAGCAGGCTCCAAGGTGCCCTGGGACTAACGCTGAGACCTGGCCACACAGACCCGGTGCCCACTCTGCACGCTCCCAGATTCCACCTCCATTCAGGCCGCGGTTCCCGATCCTTCACGCCACGTGCTCCTACTTATGGCACCGACTCCTCTCAGACCCAAGGTGAGCCCACAACCCACACGTGGATAACCAGTGTTTCCCCACACACAGGCCTCCACAGCTGGAGAAGCCTCAGGACCCTGCACCCGGGACTAAAAGATCTTTCTGAGCCGCTCCCGTCCGCAGGTGGGATAGCAGCCCAGACGGACCCTGGTTTGGCAGGAAGAAGAGAGCAATTACACCAATTAAGCCCTGGAATAAAGTCAACAACCCGGCAGCCCTCCGCTCTCCACAAGGGCTGCTCTGAGTGGTTTCTGATGATTGCTCTTACCTGCGCTAACACGGCCCGCAGGCCAGCCGGGGCTTGCCTAGGCTCCCGGAACCAGCTTAACCTCTCCAGGGCCAAACTGCTCCCCACCCAGGGCTGAGGCTGAGGCATGGGGGGGTGGGAGGTGGCCGGGTCTTTCTGAGTCCCCAGGGGCAGGTGGGCTGAAGGTCTGGCCATAGACACCCAGAGAGCCGGGGAGATGGGTCCATTTGGCTAACGTGAGATGAGGACCTGAGGGGGCAAGAGCAGCAGGAGAGATGTAGGTCCAACAGCAAGAGGCTGCTCCCTGACAGTGACCCAGAGAACAGGCGTGTGAACCCAGAATCTGGGTCCATCAGAACTCAAAGGAGCCTGCAGCCTCACTCACAAATAGCTCCCCAGAAATGCTCAGAGTGAATGGCAGGGCTGGGGCACAAACTCGGGCTTTTCTCTATGTCCTTCTGCCAGCCCAGCTCCTCTGCAGGGTGGTAAGACAGAGACACCCTCAGAAAGCACATTTCTGCTTGGAAACCAGGGCCCTCCAGCCACAGACACCGGAGGGGTCTATCTCATGGGCCTTTTCTGGAGCGTGTCACTGTATCCTACATCCTAACAGATCTTAGTCAAATACAAGATGGACAGATTCGGGGGTCCTAGTGGAACTCCAGCTGCCCATGGACGTCACCAGGTGTTCATTTAAAAGGGATCACACATGGGAAGCTCCAAGCTCAGTGTCTCGCACCTCATATCTGCACCCTGAACAAGGGCTAACTTTGAATCTGAAGGCCGGTGTCCCTGGGGGGACCCGGGGGAGCAGTCAGGAGAGGAGGGCAGGGGACCTCCTGTTTTATTCCACCCAGGTCAGGTGAGACGAGTCCTCTCCTCAGCTCTGAGCCCCAGGATGTGAGAGGATAGGCAATTACAGGACAGGGTGCCCAGGAGCAGAGACTCCAGGAAGATGGGTGGGCCTGAAGTGGGCCTCACAGGAATACGGCTTCTCCTCCCACTAGAGTGCGTGGGGTGTTCAGCAACCCCCCCGCCTCGCATGTGGTCCCTCATCCTGGGAACAACCCCCAGCCAGCCCTGGCCTCTGAATGTCCTTCCCTTTCAGCCTATCAGGTTTTTGCAGAGTGTGAAAGGAGGCCAGGGTGCAGGTTCAGATGTTGGAAGTTCAGGGAAGAGCCCTGCCCAGCTTCCATCCAGGGACCCCTCGCCTCTTTCCATGGCTCAGCCCTGACCCAGCTCCCTCCCCAGCCTGGCTGCCTCCCTCCCCAGGAAGCTGCTCTGCACCAGGCCCTCTGAGCGGGACCCAGGACCAGCTTTGCAATTTGCAGGGCCCGACACGAAATGAGAAAGGAAACTTTGCCCATGAGTGATTAAGGACTTCTCGGTGACAACAGCAGAGCCCTAGACCTTGGGAGCTTGAGGTCCCATGTCATGGGCCCACCAGCCAGCTCTGCTCTCAGCTCAGAAATCCTCAGAGCTGCGGGCCAGGCCTTCTTCCTCACGTCCCAACTATGCTGTGAGAGTAAGAAGAGGGTGAGGTAGGTGCCTGAGGACAAGGCCTGTTCATTTGGTGCCCGGTTAACGACCGGATGCCCTGGCTGAACCCCAGGCTGGCTCTTCACCTCGAAACCCCAGCCCCACCCCCACACGTGCAGGCACACAGCTGAGTCTCATGGGGAAGGAAAGGGGTGGGACGCTCGCTTGGGCCCTGGCAGGGTGGAGAGCAGGCAGGTAAAGCGGGGAGATGCTGAAAATGAAAAGAAAGAAGGAGCCACGTGGAAATGGTTATTCTGCAGGACTATTCCAGGTGGGAGCTGTTGATGGCCTGGGGGGACCAACAGCCCTGACCAACCTGCCAGGGAGCAGGAGCAGGTTGGCACCTGCACAGCCCAAAGAGGTGCCCGGCCTCCCACAGGCAGTGGGCCCAGTCTCCCCACCAGGTCCCTCCACCTGGCTCAGGTGCCTTCGCACACACAAACTCCCCACGCTGCCCTCGTGGGGGGCCCTCTGTGGCTCCGCGAGGGCCCCATCGGGCCTCTGCTGCCCTCTGCACACCTGGAGCCCAGCGCCACGCCCTCTCAGGGTCCAAAAACGAAAACTCTAGGAGCTGGAACCTGAGCTCTCCTGGGCAGGGGTCCCGTGGTGCCAGAGAGATGGGGGCAGAGGCAGATGGCTGACCGAGACCCCAAGCTTCCCTGCAGGGGGTGAGGTGGGGTGAGGGATGCAGTGTGTTCTCAGTGCTGGGTGGGGGGGCAGCTGAGAGCCACAGCAACACCCCTCCCTTCCAGGGGTCAGTTCTGATTTATGCCACCTAATAAGATCCTTCCCCTCACTGTCAGCCTTTCAATAGATCAAAGGTGGGGTATTAAAGTGAAGGCAATTCCAACAGGCTCTCCAGGCTACGCTACAGCTACGGCTGAGCCGCCCTCCCCTCCACCTGCCAGGCATTGATGGATGAGCCAGGGCCCTTCCCCTCAGCACATCAAAGGGTGATACCTGAGCTCCCTTCCCGGCCCTTCCTTGTGGTTTAATCGGCAGCAGTATATAAAAATAATTGCCCGCCCTCCAGGAGGAAGGCACAGAGGAGGCTCTGTGTGGAGCCTTTATGAGTGTCCCCTGAAGACACAGGCCTACGCATCTGGGCAGAGGGCCAGCTTTGTGGGTGACAGTCCCGGAATCCTGGGGTGGGGACCACAGAAAGTCATCTCGTCCACTCCCCGGCCTCCAGCCATAGGATTCCTAACATGGAGCTTGTTTCTGGGGTCCTTCCTGGGCTGTCTGAGATGCATCTGGGAGCTGGGCTCTGGGGTTCCTTGGGGCCTGGACGCCTGCCCTTGGCCAAGGGCAGCTGTGGTCGGTGGAGGAAGGCAGCCGGGGGTTTCCCACTTTGCCTCTCCAGAGAGGGGCAGTGATGTCAGAGGGTTAGGAAACACAAGCAGCCTCCAGTGTTTCAAAGATACTGAGGAGCCACCCCAGCAGCTTCTGTAGTAAGAGGGACCCGGGTCGACCAAGCCACATGCTGACACTTTCCAAGGTAGCATCGGGGGAGGGGGGAAGAAAGGAGGGAAAGTCCGCGTCACTTCTGGCTTCCCTGGCGCAGGGTTCCAGCCCTTCCCACAATCCATTTCTTCCTTTCTCATTTTCAGGGTCACGTAGGCCCCTGTGGACCAGAATGAGAACTGGGGAAGGTAGAGCTGTGTGGTCTGAATCCTGTCGTCCCAGCCACCATCCACCATCCACTGTCCACTGTCCATCCATCCATCCATCCATCCATCCATCCATCCATCCATCCATCCTTCCATCTGCCCATCCATCCATCCATCCATCCATCCATCCATCCATCCATCCATCCATCCACTTACCCAGACTAGAGACACCTCCCCCAACCCGTTAGGATCTTGTCTTTGTCTTGCTGAGTCACCTGGGCTTCTGGTCAACTCCAAACCCTTCAGCTTCGGTTTCAAGATTCCTCCCCTGGATCGACTCCCTCACCAGCCCCACTTCTCAGAAGGTCCCCCACGCTCCAGTTCACCTGGGAATTACGCCTCGCTTGCCCCCTCCTTGTCCCAGAGCTCCTGGTTTTCATCTCTGCACTCTATGGGGTGCTTCCCCATTTGAAATACGCTTCTCCCTCCTCTTTCCAAAGCTCCACTTAAAACTCCCCTCCTTCAGGAGCCTCTTGACCGAACCCCACGTGGAGCTGGTTTCTCCTACACTCACCGTCTCCCACTCCTTAATGACGGATCCACAATACTCGCCACCCCCCGCCCCGTGCGGAAGCCTCTGATCTACGAGGGAAACCGAGGAAACACACCCCAGCTGTTTCCAGTTAAAGTGGAGGAAAACTGAAAAGATGTCTACGTGGGAGTTCACAGCAGCACAGTCACGAAGAGCAAACAGTGGAGCAACCCCATGCCCATCAGCTAAAGATGCGGAGAACAAAGGGTCCGTGCACACGGTGGAATATTACTCAGCCATGAAAAGGAGTGTGGTCCAGCACACGCATGAATACATACATGTGCTCAGTAAGAGAAGCCAGACACAAAAAACTACATATTGTGTGGTTCCATTTATATAAAATGTCCAGAGCAGAAAACCGGGAGAGGCAGAACATGATCAGAGCTTGTCAGGGGCTATGGGGAGGGGAATGGCTGCTAATGATGAAAATGTCCTGGAATTACGCAGGCTTGATGGTTGCGTAAGTTTGTAAATATGCTGAAAACCACAGAACGTCCACTTTCAAAGGGTGTGTGTTCTGCCACATAAATTGTATCTTAATTTTTAAAAATACTTAAAGCTAAAACGATGCCACCAGGGCTGCATTAGTACAATTCTGAAGGCACAATAAGCCAGGCCCGGTATAACTTGTACGGCTGTGTCCCTCGCCGAGGACATGTGTGTTGTAAGAGTGAGCGCTCGTGGGGGAGACACGGAAACGCTTGCAAGCATTGTGTCTGGGTGGCAGAGCTGCGGGTGATTCTTAGTTTCCTCTTTTTAAATTTTCTAAATTTTCTACAATGAGTCAGAACAAAAATAAACATGTTTTTTGAAAAACAAACGGCGTCAGTGTATAATTAAGTCCCAGACTCTGAGAGCTGAGAGGAGGGAGGAGGCACGGGAGCCCACGTGGGGCAGGGCGCTCGGGAGGGGAGGGTGTGGGGCGGCATCGGACCTGCCCTGCTTCTGTCACCTCCTCTGTGTCCCACCTCTCCCTGGATCTCTTTCCCGATAGGTCGCCGGGTCCTGGCAATGTGGTCCATGCTCTTTCCTGCAGGGGTCTCTCTCTTTTTTCTTTTTTAAACATGTCTTTATTGATTTCAGAGAGAGGAAGGGAGAGGGAGAGAGAGAGAGAAACATCAATGGTGAGAGTCATTGATGGGCCGCCTCCTGCATGCCTCCTACTGATGGCTGAGCCCGCAACCTGGGCATGTGCCCTGACCAGGAATCACACCGCAATCTCCTGGATCCTAGGCTGACGCTCAACCACTGAGCCACGCCGGCCAGGCATGCAGGGTTCTCATAACTGTCCCCCAATCAGCTGTGTCCCCTGGGCAGTGCCCGTATCCATGTCGGCTGCAGGCTGGACCCGTCAAGGGCCTGGATTAGGGGTGTGTGGGGGTGCCTGTGACGGGTCTGGCACAAGGCCCACACCCAGCAAAGCAGCCTGGATGGGTCACCTTCCAGAACAACTGAGCTTACAGCCACCTGGCTGCAGAGGTCACAGAGGCTCCTGAAGAGGTCACCCTCTTTCAGAGGGAAACAGCACCTGCAGGCCTGGCCTGGGCTCCAGCTCACTGGGTGACACTGGAGAGTCCTTCCCTCTCTGATGCCCGGTTTCCCTCACCTGCAGGAGGGGCAATGGGACTGGGTGACCACCTACGCCTTCCAGCTCCTAATTCTAAGATCCTGTGGCAGCCTCCACCCACGCGGCCTCGCCGGTGGCCAGAGCAGGAGCCGGTGCGCTGGCCGCCTTTTCCGGCTGCCATGTGAATTTCCACACTCCAGCCAGTGGCTGGCAGCCACCTGGGCTCCAAAGGCTCATAAACGGGTGGAAAATTACTCATGGACTCGAAAAAGATCACACTTTCCCTGCCCCTGACCAGTCTCCTCTCCCCAGGATGGCGGCGGGCCTAGGGAAGGGGAGCGGGGAAGCGGCCAACTGCAGGGGTGCGGCTGGTGGAAGGGGCTGCAGGCACACGGGCGCTGTCCCCACCCCTCCCTGGCTGTGGTCCCAGTCTTCTCTCACCTCCTCTCTGGACTCCTCTAAGGTAGCAGAGAGACCAAATTCTGAAAAGACGGCACAGCTCCTAGAAAATGCCCAGTGGGTCTGAGGGAGGTGGTCAAGCCGGTCCTCCTGTGTCCAGGCCGATGAGTTTGTGATTCTAAAGGACTTTCAGAAGCGAGAACTCTGGCCTTTCCCTCCCTGTGGTTATAGATGGCTGAGAGGTTCTGCATCCCCTGAGAGATCATGGGCATCTCACAGCCTCCAGGCTGGTCCACCACCAAACCAATCCAAACCTTACACTCCCTCCTGCATGTGCAACTCCCACAGCCCCATCCTGGGGTGCTCCGGACAATAACAGGTCTCTCAGGCCCCGGACCTGCAGGAGCTCTGGGGGGCTCAGCGGCCAGAGAGGCTGGGAGACCCACAAGTAGTCTGGGCTGAGGCATTCCCGGTGGGGCCGAGGCACCACACTGCTCCTGGGTGGCCCACTTGGGCCAGCTCTATCCCATACCAGCATTTACGGCGGAAACAGCCTCCCCAGGATCCCAGGGCCCAGCCCACCATGGACACACTCCTAGCATCTCCAGCAGCCAAATTACCCGTGTTCAGACCTTCATCATGTGCAGGGGGCTGCTGTGTGCCCACCCACCTCAGAGCAGCCTCTGCCCCAGACACATGTAGTAATCAACTCCCGGAACCTTGGGGAGATCCAAATACAGTAGCATATAATCATGGAGCCTGAAATAGCCACGCCAGGGAGCCATCTGCCACCTCGCGTGTCCCTGGGGACCCCTCGGCCAGGCCCCACAGCGCGGCTGGGCCTCGGGGCCCTCTCTGGCTGGCAGGCAAGTTGGATGGTGCTCACAGTATCCGCTGGAGCTCAGGGATAGCTTGGGGGACTTCTCCATGGCAGACGGGGTATCTCCAGGATGGAAGCTTGGACCAGAGCTGCCCAGACCCAGGATCTTGCTACTCCCCCCTCCCCCAGAAGCACCTTACTCGTCCCCCCATGGGGTCCCCCTTCCCCAGAGCTGCAGGCTGCCAGTCAGCACCTGCCCTGCTCAGCTCTGGCTCAGTCTTGTGTCCACGACGCCCCTACTGGGAAGGGAAGGAACTGCAGGGCTCCCCGGAGGGCGGCTGTGTCCTGGGTGGCCAGCACATCCCCAAGCAGTCCCACCCCAAGCAGGGGAAATGGGTGTCTGGGCCACCCCACCCCCAACACCCTGGGGGCCAGAGCGGCCTACACAGAGGAGACAGCCCCTTCCTGACACTTCTGAGGGGCGGCGGACTCCGCCCCGCACCCCAGGCTCCGGCAGACCGCCAGACGCCCCAGGAGGCTGCCCTGGTGGCCCCACCTAGGGAGGTCCCATTCCCACAGTCCTCGGCGGGGCTTGGAGCCTCCCTTCCCCAGATACACATGTGAGGCTACACATACATACTCTGACGACAACCAAAACCCGGACAAGCCGAAGACCAGAGCACACGCTGTCTGAACAGGGGCTCAGAGGAGGGGGAGCGGGGTGGGGCCAGTGGGGACTCACAGAGACTGCAGGCTCGGCAGCTGCCACAGTGCCTCGGTGGGGATCCCTCCCAGCTGGTTGTTCTGCAGCATCCTGTAAGGAGAGGAGGGGCTTGGAGGACCCCCAGGGCACAGAAGCTGGGGCTCCTCCCTGAACCCCACCCCAAGCTAGATCTGTTCCTCTCACCCCAGCTTTGGACACCCAGAGGGAGTCCTGGCCCAGCCCAGGCCCAGCCCAGACCCAGCCCAGGCCCAGCCCATCAAGGGCTGTCCAGGTGCCGTGGGTTGTGCTCCGGGCTGGGGCGGGGGGTCACGGAAAGGGGAGGCAGAGCTAAACAGGAGCAGGGTAGAGAAGCAAAGAGGCCCGTGGGCGCCAATGAGGCCAGAAGTCAAAACTTGTGGTTCTGTTGAAATTTGGTCAGAAAAGATGTGCCTAAAAGTAGATTTTTCTCCCCAGGCCTCAGTTTACCTGTTCGTGCAGCTGAAGGGGGGAAGGGGTGGCTAATGAGGGCAAGGCCCTCACCCCCTGCCTGTGCCACACCTGTCCTGCCACACCAGGCTCCTCGGGACCGGAGGGGACGAGCCCTGCTTTGCACAGAGATGCCCTCCCCGCTCCCTGGAAGGTGTACAGTCAACCCGCCTTTCAGAGGCGATGCTCAGAAAAGACATGCATCTTGCCCAAGATCACTCAGGTCACAGGGCTCCTGTGTCACTGTCCTCCTGTCTCTTAAACTCCCAGCACCACAGGAACAAGAGAAAGCTGGGCTCACGGAGGGTGGGGACCAGAGGAGCTCCCTGGAGGACGGGGGAAGATGGGTCCCCCCTGCCCTGAGGCCCTGAGTAAGAGCGGCTCCAAGACCACCCAGCTCATCTCTAACACACAGAAGCTCACAGGCGAGGAGCTGGCACGCGGCCCCGGCAACCGGAGTGGTCTTCCAGGACCGGACCCAGTGGGGGTCAGTGGCACGGTGGCCAGTCGCAGTCTGGTTGTCCTGGGTTGCAGCCTCTCCCCGCCGACCGACTCAAATGAGCCAAGGGGGGCTGTTTGCAGAAATGGGGCAGAGGCCCTCGGGGGCTTTGATTCACGGCCTGACGCAGGCAAAGAAAGAAGAGGCTCATTGCTAAGCCGGAGTCTTAGGGACGGACGGGAGCCTCACATCTGAAAGCCCCGCACACAGCCCCGCGCTAATCCGGCTGCAGGTCTGAGCCTGCACTGGGCACAGACATGCCACCGAGCAGGCTGCCTGCACTGCGTCTCCATCAGGGTGCCTCCCCCCATCCTGGGCAGCAAGGTGGTGGGGAGCAGGGCAGACCCAGGCCAGGGAGACAGAGAGCTGGGGCTGAGACAGAGAGGAGCGGGGAGAGAGGAGCCGGGCTGGGCAGAGGTCAGGGGAGGGCGAGAGGCCAGGAAGCCCTGGAGTCAGAGGCTCAGAGGCTCAGAGGCAGAGAGGGAGGCTGAGGGCAGAGGTGCTGGAGCCCGGCACTCAGAGCAAGGAGGGTGTGCTCAGCCGTGGATCGTGGATTGCTGGCTGGCTGCAGGCGGAAGCTCACAGGCCAAGCGCCACTGCCAGCCCAGAAATAACTTTGAGCAAATTAGAAAAATATATTCCTTTCTGGGTGGAGGTAGCCCATGCCAGACACAGGACTGGACCCCCAGTGTGGGTCCCTCCTCCGCAGACAGTCCTGCCCATCCTGGCTGAGCCTCGGGGACAGCTCTTGGGTCTGTCACGGCGCAGGCCCACAAAACCTACCTGCACCGTCATTATTCACATCCCCAAAAGAAAGGGGTGGTGTGCTTCCCTGTAGGGCTACCATAAATAACAGCTACAATGAAATGGGTGTTTACAAACCATAATGTTTGTTATAGACAAGCGACCACCCAGAAATGGAAGCTAAAGTGCAGGTAAGGGAGCGACAGGAGAGACTGCAGCAGATGGAGACACAGGCACAAAACCTCGCTGTGACCTCAGTTTCCGAGATCACGTCTCGGGATGAAGGTCGCACACTCATACTCACAGGATTTTCAGGCTGTAGAGACCAGAGAATGCCCCTCCTGGAATGTGTGAGAGATGGTTCCCAGAGAGTCGCCTGCAAGTCAGAGCAAAGGGTGGGTCAGACGTTGGCAGGGGACCCACAGAGTGGACCCCGTTAGTCTGTGGGGGAGGTGATATTCGTAATGCACAAGTGGAGAGAAAGATGGGCCTGCCAGGTCGGAGGGGAAATCCTGCTCAGATGCAGGTGGTGAGCAGGACTGGCCTCACGGAGCCAAGCTGTCCAGGTAGGTGTGGGCCAGGTGAGCGAGGGCCCTAGAGGTGGAGGCGGAGAAGGCTCTTGAGCTGGTGAGATGCACCCTGGAGATGAGCAGAGAACCTTAGGAAGGGGTGGAGGTCTGTTGGTCAGGAGGCTGGTGAAACCCCTGGATGTGTGGGGGACGTCTAGGGCAGTAACAGTGGGAACAGAGAAAAGAGACACCCCAGAAAAAGCCCCCAGGACTTGGGAGTGGCCAATAGCAGGACCCCAGAGGCTGATGTCCAGGGAGGGGGGTGGATATTGACAGAAAGAGGGGGAGCTACTGGCTCCAGGGAGGAAATGAAGCTACAGTTTGTTGGAGTTCCTATACCACGTGGCCCCTCACGGCCACTCTCCGGTCCCCACCTGAGCCAGGTGTCAGCGGAACACCCTGCCATCAAGAACAGCTTCCCAGCCCCTTGTCCTGAAGGGGGGCCCTGTTCCTACAGCTGTTCGGGTGGCCCCAGCTCCAACCCCTGCCTTGGGAGCAGCGGCTACTCACAGCTCCTCCAGGAAGCGCAGGTGGTGGAAGCAGCCAGGCTGCAGCTCTGTGAGGTTGTTCATGCTCAGGTCTCTGTGTGGGGAGAAAACAAAGGTGCTGTGAGTGGCCCACGAGCCCCGGCCGGCAGCACACACCCACAGAGCGACTACTCCGCGTCAGGTACTGGCTAACCTTTACCCAAATAATCCCCTTTAATCCTCACGACACCCCCCAGGCAGATTCCATTGCCCCCCCCCCATTCTACATTCAAGGAAACAGAGTCAAAAGGCCCTGAGATCAAGCCTCTCCTCCTCTTTCCTATCAGACCTTAGGCTATTAACCACTACTGTGTCCCGCCTTCCGCCTGTCCCTCAGCGACCTGTGGGCAAGGGCCCAGCCCAACAGCCTGGAGTGGGAAGGGGCCGGTGCACCCTCCCTGGGGGCACAGACATGGGCTCAGACCAGGCACTGCGTTGCTGGGACCACCCTCAGGCCCTCCTGAGGCTTCCTCCTTTCCCTATGAAGGCATCTTCACCCTCGAACCTCAGGGTCTCCATCCCCCCGAGAGGTACGTATGTTTTATGTGTCTGCATAGAAAAGCAGCCTGGAGATGGCAGGACGCGCTCCGGAAGGAGCCCAGGTCCAATCTATAAAAAGACTGTTTAGTCTCAAATGTTTCATCTTTCATAAAGCTGGGCTCGGACAGCAGTCCTCCGGGGAAGGGAGACGGTCCGTGTAGGGTAGAGCCACAGGGCTGGCACGTGGACTCAGGGCTGGTTCTGGCCGATGGTTCCCTCCCTGCTCTGGGTGCAGACTGGCCCCCAGGAGGAGGAAGGGTCACTGGTGTGCTGATGGCCACCCCAACCTTCAAGGAGCAGCACCTGGAGAGATCACCGATGGATTTTAAGCCAGAATTTGGTCCTCAGGGTGCTCTCAGGGCCCTCTAGCCAGGGGTTCTGGCGGGGTGTGAAGAGGCAGGGACATGGTGCCCAAGGAAGCCCACGCTGCAAACCCTGGGTCTGCCGGGACCTCCCCCGAGCCCAGCCCGGCTCATCCGCCACCAGGCAGGGGGTGCAGGACTGATTACCTCTCTCTGTTTACCCTGCACATTGCTGAACGTGCCTCCACAGGAGTTCAAGGACCGCGTGGGGCTGTGACTCAGGACTCATCACTCAGCTGTCCCTCCAGGGGCCGCTCCTCAGAAGCTCTGATGTGGCTCCAAGCTCCCCCCCCCCACTAGCGGCCTCATTGGTCTCCCCTGGGGGGGAGGGGGCCGTACCCAGCCCGCCCCCACATCCTGCCCCAAGACAACAGAGCCCTGCTGCAGGGCTCAGTTTAAGGAGGTGGATTTCAGAGGGTTGGGTGGGGGGAGCCCCACTCAGGCCTGGCCCTCTCACAAAAGGAAAAGGGGTGAGGCTGGTGCCAAGGAGAGGGGGGGAGGAAGAACATAGAGCTGGGAGAGAGAGGTGCGGGAGGCTTCCAGCTGAGATCCTCCAAGCTGATGCCACGGGCCCTGGGAGCACCCAAGGGCCCCACTGGCCCTGCTGTGGAGGGGTCATCTTGTGGGGGGTCTGCTATGGGGGGGCATGCCTGGGCAGTCTCAGGGAGGGTGCTACAAAGGGGCAGGTTCTGAAATAGGGCTTCCCTGGGAGGTGGGCTGTCCCTGTGCAACCAGAGAACACAGCTCAGACCCGCAGGCCATGCCTAGGCTCGGGATAAGAGGGTGCCCTGACCCTTGGGTGCCTGAGGTTGGCTGTAGCCACATTAGCTTGGCTGTCTGAACGGGTATTTACAAGGGGGCATAGTTGGAATACATGAGTTCTTGGATATGCCTGTCTTGTGGGTGCTGGGCATGTGTGTATCCTGTGTAAGGGCACACATGTGTATCTGTATATGTGTGTCTCAGAGTGTTGGACTGTAAAAAGTCACAAACTTTCTTGAAGCAGCCACACATCACAAAGCTGGGAATTCTGGGAGGCTCGAATGGCTCAGCCAGGTCTCGCCCTTTGGATGGAGAACTCAGTGTGGCTGTGACCTTCTCTGGGCCTCAGTTTACCCTCTGGTCTGTCTCCTGGCCAAGAAGGAGCACAGGGTGCTCAATGATGCTGTTTCTGGGGCCCAATTTGTGGCTGAATTGAATGCCTGATGCCTGGACTCACACTGTGGTCCACCACTGTCACCCTACGACCACTAGGACCACACACACACACATGAGCACACAAACACATGCACACACATACACACACAGACATATGCACAGACGTGCACACACGGACATGCACACAGACATACACGCGATAGGCACATGCACACACATATGCACAGAAACACACATGCACGTGCACACATCACTGCTCCAGGGCTAGCTTCAAGGGCTGTGGCCTGTTTAGCCGCACAGAGGCCCGTGTTTGGCAGTTCATCTCTGCTGTTGTCGTTTTGAATTCTTACTGACTTTTGGATGAGAGGCACCACATCCTCACTGCACAGGGCCCTGAAACTGCCTCTCAACTGAACAGCAGGGGTTGGGAGGGTGGGTGGCAGCCCCATCCTGCAGCCCTGGGCCCTCTGGGTGGACACAGCCGTGGGAGTGGGGGCTGGGCGAGGTTGGCAGGAGGGGGGAGAGAAGAGCCGCAGCCCTGGGCTGGGGAAGTGGAAATTCTGGCTGCACATCAGGAAAATGTTCTCAGAACTTCACCCTGTGAGGCGACCAGACCACCCAGGCTGCTGGGTGAGGCTGTCACCATGGAGACCAGGAGCAGGTGTGATAAGAGGGGGATGCTGGGGGACTTGGGGCAGAAACTAAAGGATAGGGGACAGAACTTCCCCTCTAAAGCCATGGGGACTGGTCTGGACCCCTTCTCCCCTCCCCTCCCTCTCTCTGCGAGGCCAGAGACCTGCTCCGTCCAATACGGTAGCCGCTCCCCACATGGGAACATTTAAATTTAAATCCATTCCGATTAAATAAAGCTAAATTGGTTCCTTGGCTACACTAGCCACATTTCAAGGCTCAGTAGCCACACGTGGCTGGCGGCACCACAGTGGACAGCACAGACCTGGAATACGTCCCTCGTCACAGGCCGTCCCACTGGCCACACTGCAGCTTCTGCCGTCACGTGTCTTGTGCCTGATTCCCAGCTCTGCCACTGTGTGGCTTTGGGTAGGTTACTTCACCTCTCTCTGCCTGCTTCCTCCCTGGTAAAATGCTTAGTTGGGGCCCAGCCCACGGCGAGGAACCCACCGACAAAACTGTGGGCACCACGGCCTGGTGCTACCGTTCACCGAGGCCCAGCTGAAGCGCCTCCTCCTACAGGAAGCCTCCAGCCATTCCCTTAGCCATCCAGGCCCATTATTCAAGGGGGGTGTTCGTTGGGCACCCCCCACATACCAGGCACTGCGCCGGGTGACGAAGCTGCGAAGCCCAGTAACGTGCGCTCCCTGCCCCCCAGGAGCCCCGTCGGCGTGGACAGTTACAGGCCTGAGTGACCAGTCCTGGGGCCGGGGGCCTGACTGTCACAGGGCTTCCACAGGCTAGTCCGTGAGGCTTCTGACTGATCCCTGAGGCATCAGCCACGGGGTCCTGTCCGCGATTACCGACCGTCACCTCCTAGCCTTGGACAGCTCGTTCCTGCGCCGGTCTCCCCATCACCTGTCCTTGTCACATACACACACACCAGCTTCAAGGTCCTTTGTGGGCAGCAGGGCAGGGTGGGCACCCACGGGCGCCCCGGCCGAGAACCGACAAGGGCAAGAGACAGACCTGACGCGGGAGAGGCTGAGGACCAGCCCCGCAGAGAAAGCGGCGCTGAGTGTGCATTTGGGGACCACCTGCTTCGCCCCCCGAGCTCGGCTTCCTCTGACTCACCGGTGTCCTCCCAGCCCCATCCCTTCTCCTCTCCGGCCCCACTTCCACGCGTCCAGCTGTGTGGCTGTGGCTCTGGCTGCCCTATCGGACGTGAAGCACCTTCGGAGGAGGCCTGTGACCTGCCCTCTGACCAGAAAGCTGAGCTCTCCCTCAGGCCCCGGAGAGGGGCTGGGCCGGTGGGAAGGACTGGGTTGCATGGGGCAGGGCAGGCAGGCGGCGGAGTCCCCTTTGTGAGGCCACAGCCCCGAGTGGTTTGTTTGGCTGAAGCTCCCGGCTCTGCTACTTCTATTCTCAGGATAAAGGGCCGGGTGTGTCCGGGACGGGGGCTGGGAAAGGCCCCTCTATTCGGCAGCCCCCATGCCCACGTCCCCTTCCTGTCCCCCCACCTGCACTCACAGGACACACACAGAGGAGCCCCTGGTGCCACCCACCCAGCCCCGGTGGCACCCGCCTGGGGCCGGGCATGGGCCTGAGGTAACCGATGGATGTTTCTCTCTCCCTCCGACTCCCTTCCTCTCTCTCGAGTCAATGAAAAGCATATCGTTGGGCGAGGATTTTACAAAACCTGTCCCATGACAGCTCCTCGTGAGGAAGCTATTGTGAGGGTTAATCGGAGGGCCCCGTGTGTGAGGGGTACGGCTGTGCCCACGGGGGCACCAACGCCGGCGAGCGCCCCTCGGCTCCCGCACTCAGCTCCCAGGGCCCTTCCTCAGCCCAGCGGAGCTCACGCAGGGTCACACGGGGGCGGGGCGGGTGGAGCGAGGGGAGGGCGTGCTGGGTCAGCCCTGCCCTTAGGAGCACCAGCTGCTGCCCCTCCCTGGTGCCTCCCAGTGAATGCCACCTGCCCCAGCCCTGAGCTTCGCACCCTTTGATCTTCCGATCTCTGGCCTGGGTCCCTCAGCAGAGGCATTCTGTCTCCCGGGCCTCCTCCAAGGAAAAGCAAAGGTCTGGGTGCCCGCCCCTCCTCCCTTCCGTGTTTGTGTGTAACCAGGACAGACACGGAGGCCTGAGACAAGGTCATAGCCAGGTGCCCTCTGAGGTGGCAGTGTCTGGGGGGAGAGGGGGCAGGGGGAGGGTCTGGCCACCGGGCTACCACTGGGCATGGTGCCCTGGCCTGGACACTGCAGGAAAGGTGCCTTCAGCCTAAGTTCCTTGTTCCCAGTACCCTTGTCTGCCGGGGCTTGCTGAGCCCTGGAGGAGGGGTGTGTGCCAGGGTGTAAGGAGGAGGGGG